ATATATATATATATATATATATATATATATATATATATATATATATATATATATATATATATATATATTTTTTTTTTTTTTTTTTTAATGTCTGGGTTAAAAAACTAAAGATTTTTATTCCCCTTTGAATACAAAATATTTCATTTTTTTGTAAGATTTATAATATTTTGGAGCAGTAAACATGTCAGGCTAAATAACGAAAATGAATCATTGACTTCTGCTGTCTTCATTATTTAAAAAAAAAACAGATTTCTTTATAATTTAAAACGGCATCTTCGGAGATGTTTTCAACTGAAGATACTGTTGTTCTAAAAAAAAAGAAAAGAAAAAAAAGTAAATTAAAAAAAATCTTACATATACCATGAATTACATGAATTATAGTTGACCAGAACCCACAGAACATGTGATTTATTAACCATGCTAAAATGAACCATAATAGAGTGAAAGTTGATCATTTGCATGTGTTTTTAAAGCCTTTGATTGTGCATTTTTAAGAGTGTTTGGGCACAAAAAAGTATGTTTGGAGATTTTAACATAAGATTAGTTGTTTTTTAATTACTTGAATGTTTCTAGTCCAAATAACTACATTTCAAAGTGAAAATAATATTATTTTAATTACCCCATTGGCAAATAATTTAACTTGTTTTAAGGAAAAACTCCTAATTTTGACTTATTTCTTCTGAAGCGAAATAAAACAATATTTTTACTTGATCTAAAAAAAGTTTTAGAAATTTGGGCAAGAAACGAAATGAAACAAAGCAATACTTATTTTTGCATTGTGATTATTCAATTCCTGTATCTGAATGTACAGAACTCTCCAGTTCTTACCCAGTAGGGCAATTTAAACAATCTTGTGTAATAATAGTGCTTCATTTGATAATCTTGAATAATAAAATATCGCAATATCAGATTTTTCCATCATGCAGTCTTACTGGAGTTCAAGCAAAAGTTTGTATCAAGCGTTATGAAACCACTTGATTTGATCTTTACTGCACTCATGTGTCATGTGATTGGCTGCCTGCTGCACTCATGTTGTTTGATTGGTTATTTGGTGCACTCGTGTGCTGTGGGATTGGCTGTTTACTGCACTCATGTGTTGTTTGATTGGCTGTTTGGTTCACACGTCACACTTTCAGCTCCATGCAGTCCAAAGGTAATCATAAACTTTGAATTAACAAAGACGATGAGTTAACAAAGCAAGTTCATGCACTCTAAATGTGTAAAACCACTTAAACGGATCTTAACCCACAAGGGTTTCTTTGTTTTTGTCAACTTGAAAGTGTTTCCTGGGTAACAGGGAAGCCTCTTCAATGTCAACTATGATGTTCAGAGGTAAGAGTAAAAAACACACAGAAAGCAGAGGGGTATTGCACTAATATAGAGTAAAGAAAGCCAGGATAGCAGAAAAAGCGTGGCTTGACCTAGTTTAATCAGCCCATGCTGGCTTAGTCTGTTGCACATTAGCTGATCCAGGAAAAGAAAGTGCTGCTTGGTCAAGCCTGGTTTAGATAGTAAGGATTAGTCTTGTCATGATAGTGTAATTTCGGTACCAATCGGTACAGGAATTTTATGAACATCCATTTCCCACTAACATTTGAGCTCTGTTGAGCGCGTTCTTAAACACTGCTGATTTGCCATTTTGTTCATATGCCTAAAAGAAATGTAATTGGACGTGAAGGGCATCAGTTTATCAAGTGCAAACACATATACAGGAACACTGAAGCATTTTAAAGCCTCGAAGATTAGCTCGTCTGTTTATAAGCTGACATTCGAGCGATCCGCTGGATAATCGACTGAACTTCGTGGCTTTACATTCCCTCTATCTCTGTTTGCACTCGGTGAACAACAGGATGATCTCCACAGCCAATCACAATCATTTACTCTGCAAGTAAACTAACTTTTGTGCAACAGCCCTCAGATGTTTTTTTCTAGCAGTGACGACGTCAATGAAACATCAGCGTTTCTCATCAGCATCTTCTCATTTATTACAGAAAGATGACGACATTGAGGAGGGAGACTTGCCCGAGCACAAAAGGTCTCCTCCACCAATCGACTTCTCGAAAATTGATGCCTCCAAACCAGAAGAGCTCTTAAAGATGTCCAAGAAAGGCAAGACCCTGATGGTGTTTGCATCAGTGTCAGGGAACCCCACAGAGAAGGAGACTGAGGAGATCACGGGTCTGTGGCAGGGAAGCCTCTTCAATGCCAACTATGATGTTCAAAGGTAAAAAACACACATAAAGCAGAGGGGCATTGCACAAATATAGAGTTAAGAAAGCCAGGATAACCTGGGACATGTTTAATCGGCACATGCTGGCTTCGTATTTTGTACATTAGCTGATCCAGGATAAGAAAGTGCTGCTATGTCAAGCCTGGTGTAGATAGCAGTGATGCATGCACATTTGTGGCATTCTTAAGCCAGACTCAGGATCGGTCACAGAACAAATAAAACAAATACAGATAAAACTTGATGAGAGCCATTTCTGTAACGAGTTGAAAAACAACCAATCTGGCAACTCCCATGAGTCCCACTTATCTGACAACTGTTGTTAGTTTTTGCAGAGACTTGACAGAAATGTATGAGGTGATGAAACGCCATCTAAAATAAGTCACTTGTGACCGTTACTCGATGAAGATTAATTGCAATTTTATCTGATTAGTTTCTATTTAATCGTCATCAGTGCTTTTTAAAGGTGCAGTAGGTGATCTGCCAAAATGCTAAGCTACGCCTCCTGAAATTGCGAATGCGTCCACCGCGACACGACAGATACAACCCACTAGTTCACCAGTTATAAGTACATAGTGGTTGGCCCGGCAGGCGTGCAAGAATTTCACTTATTAAACCACACTTACAAGCTATTTCAGAGTGAATATTCAAACTTGCATGGTAAACAGTATAGGAAGCGCGTCACAGGCTGTCATTGTTCAGAAATGACCCAATGTGAATATAAAAGCAGCTTCAGCTCAGTTAAGCAGACTAGGCGGAATAGCGCTATTTACTGATGTTTTGTTGTTAAACTAAATGTACATCTACATTATCGATGCTGTAAAAGGCCCTTATCAAACCAAAAATAGTCAAATCAAGCTTTCACCGGGAGATTTCAGTGGCTGAACAACACGTCTGTGCATAAAAACCCATTCACAACACACTCTGCATGAAGCTAAAATAGTTTTAAAACAGAACATTACCTGTATAAGAGAAATACCTCAGCCATGGTGTCGTCCTTCCTCCAGTGTGCAAAAATAACTCGGGAGTGATTCAGGAGTTTAAAAGATTTTAATTCAGCATTTGATTGCAAGCCCAAATCTGCATTTGCTGACAGATTGAGTTACTTATCGCAATTATGGGAGATGTCGGTTTGACAATATTTCATTGGATGAACATTTTTTAGTTTTATGCCTTACCCAGAATATAAAAATACATATAAACACATTTAGATCATTTACTGTAATCACTACTATTGTACTGTGAAGAGACTTTTAGCCAGCACAACAAAAAAATGTTTCTGAAGACAATCACCTACTGCACCTTTAATCTAATTCATTTCGGTTTTCTTTCTTTATAATGGATTTTGTTTAAAGGGGACCTATTATACCCCTTTTTACAAGATTTAAAATACATCTCTGATGTCGCTAGAGTGTGCATGTGAAGTTTTAGCTCAAAATACCACACAAATAATGTTTTATAACTCTTTGAAACTGCCCCTTTTAGATTTGATCCTAATTGTTCCATTTTGGTGACTGTTGCTTTAAATTCAAATGAGATTGTGCTCCCAGCCCACATTTTAAAAGAGGGTGGAGCTATAAACGCCTGTGTGTCAGCATAGTGGCAGATTCAAACTCTAATGGCGGATGGCTGCTTCTTACGCAGGGCTGTCTATACGCTAATGAGGAAAAGATCATGAATAGTGGGCGGGGCTTTCCACCCCTGATGACACATACAAAGGGAGAATGTCAATCAAAGTGTCTCTACAAGTGTTTTTAATACGAAAGGATCTTATGAAATGCTGTTTTGTCACTACAGTCACCGTTTGTGCTCTTCTCGTTAGGTTTGTGGTGGGCTCTAACCGTGTAATCTTCATGCTGCGTGACGGCAGCTACGCCTGGGAGATTAAGGACTTTCTGGTGTCCCAGGACCGCTGTGAGGACGTGACCGTGGAAGGACAGGTGTTCCCTGGCAAAAATGCCAAGAAAGATGCCAAGGGGAAAGAGCAAAACGAGACCAAGAAGAAGGGTGACAAGAAAGCTGCCAACCGAGCGAACAAAGGCAAGCAGGAGCTTTGATACACTGGTGGTGTTAATGGGACTGAAGGAGCGTTTCTCCAGCAGGTGTTACCAGCGTACTTTGATGCACAGGTTACGAAAGCAAATCAGCCGTTCAGTTACTGTAGCTAACTTTATTATGTTTTCCACAATCCATATCAAAGAATAAATCACTTTTATAATTACGTCATGCATTGTATTGATTGTTTTGTAATACTTTTACTAGGGTTGGGCCGATAGACGATAGACCCGCTCGCGAATAATACACACTTGCCCTGTTTACACTAGTACTTTCTTAGTATTAAAATGGCCATTTTGAACAAAAACTATCCACATCCTCACCGTGTTTTACCTAGCATTTCTTAACAGCTCTCCAACCGCTGAAAACACAAATCATGTGACCACACGCACAGCCATACACGCGTATAGCCACACACAGGCTGTTTCTCAATATGCGTTCTTCAGCGGTCTTGCGTCCTCGTGTTCTCGTGAAACGTCATCATCAGCTGCCTAAGTTCAGTTCCAATACTTAAGACCGCAAGTACGGAGGACGCGTGAAACTTCCCGGATGTGTTCTTGATATCGAGGATGCACTGATGCAGACTTGAGCACCGAACTCGCTCTGGAAGTCCCAGAAGTCATTGCGACTGGAGGTGGGAAGCGCTGCATTTTATCTAGATTTATTATTAAAGTTCATAGATATGAACTATTTACCTCAGGAGTTTCCCTAAATGAAACGGTGAAAGTAAACATTACCATGGACATCTTAATAAAGGAATAAACACATTAAGGGTGTTTGTTTGCTGAAATTCGTATTGAAATTTGTTTTATTTATATTGTGCAACATATATTTATAATGTTTTTATGCAATATTGTATATTGTATGCAAAAGTGTATATTTTGAAAAGGGGAAAAACAATAAATCGTTGTATGAAGGCTGTAATGTTTAAATAATTTACCACTTAAAACACGTGAAGGTCATGTGACCATCAGGAAGAACGTAGCATCTCAATTCTCAAAGGACGCGTTCTCTGCCCTCGCAGTCTCCTGAGTTCGTTCTTCCGAGGACACCTGGCAAGACCGGTCTCCACAAGAGCACAAGTCCGTTTTCTGCGTTCTTGGAATTGAGAAACAGCCACACTGTCTTGTGCTCATCTGAGTTCCAGAGAGCAGTGCTCGTCGGACAGTTTATCAAGGATGTATCGCTGGATTGCGTCTCACTATAATTGTGATACTTAATTAATCTTGTTTCTATCTAACGACTCTTCAGTCTTTTGAATCTATAAGCTAACGTCACCGCGTCAGTACACTGCTTCAGTCTTTCATTTTCACAATAAGTCATTTTAGTGAAAACCTCAGATTCTGTTGGTTGAGCACCTTTTTAACCGACCAACCTCCCGTGGAAAAAGTGATTGACATTTGTGTGCAACTTATCTTTATTTATTTATGAATTGTTCATGGGTTAAACAAAGACCATGCGGGTCAGGTAGTTGAAACAGTGGGCTACAAATAATTAATTTGTTATGAATTAATTAATTATTCATAAATAAATAATTCACCTCTGCCTATGACGATGATGCCATCGTCCATCGCGATGTTTCACATTAGACATCGTACCATGCCAAATTGGTCGACATCGCCCAACCCTAACTTTTACAGTACGGTGGTACAATAAGTTATCATGAATGAATGATAAACATTGGGTCTCATTGACTAATAATTGCATATGTTTTTCTGAATTCATATGCACGTTTGTACTTTTCATCAAAACTCTTAACCTAATTCACAACACATGCAAAGTAGGGGTGTAATGGATTACGGCCCACACTTCAGAAAGCACGTGACCCGCGGATTAATAACTTTTTTGAACTTGTAGTTTAATCCAACATTTATAAAAATCGCTGAGAGATCGCCTCCCGTGTCATTCAAATCACGTGAAAGGATTTAGGCTTCCCTGTAAAATATAACGATGACGGAAAAAGGTTATGGTGGGACCTAAATGTTGTCTTAGGTAATTAATTTAAGGTGTCACTGTTTGTTTTGCCTGCATTGATGCATTCAGTTTAAAGCTGCACAATTAAACATTAAAAGGTTGTGATCTCAATTCAAACCCATGCAACATGAATGATAAATGATAATGCGCCCAATCCATCCATTCAAATCTGCGTTTGATTGAGATGAACTCACCCATACACTCATTCACACACATTCATTACACTACGGACAGTTTAGGTTATCCAATTTACCTGTACCAAATGTCTTTGGACTGTGGGGGAAACTGGAGCACCCAAAGGAAACCCATGTTAACACAGGGAGAACATGCAAAATCTACACTGAAATGCCAACTGATCCAGCCGAGGCTTGAACCAGCGACCTTCTTGTAATAAAGAAAGAAACTCATAAAGGTTTGAGACAAGGGCGAGTAAATGATGACAAAATTTTCAGTTTTGGGTGAACTATCCCTTTCATTGGCCACAAGGTGTCTGTTGTGCTAAAAATATATACATTATTTATTACTTTGACTGAATTAGCAGGCCATTTTATTACATGTTCAATTGTATAACATTAAAAAATAATGTAAGTGCCTTTTTATTTATTAATAAATGATACGTTTCCTTTTTAATCTGCCGCATTATTTTTCTCATTCGTTTGTATTTTGCTATGGCCAATTACACTGTATTTGTGTATTAATTTACCATATTCTCTTAATAATTCAGTCAAATCCATATTCTCCCAAATATTTCTCTTCAAATCCTTTTATTTCCGCTTCGAATAAGTAAAACTGTAGTTTAAAAATGGTAGTCAATACAAACCATGGTTAATTGTCATAAAGTAGGCTATAATCCTGATATTATTATAGTAAATGTAATGTAATGTAAATAGTATTATTATTATTAATATTATCATTATTATTTCGGATGCCAAACTGTCTTTAAAACACTAGACTATTTCCAGTTCACAGCCCTCAGTCTAGACAAAACATTTCTTGTTCATCATTCATTGTCATTTCTGTTGACATTTTTCTTTGTGCAACAGCTAGTACAACACCAGCCGACTCGACTCGAAAATAATCTGATTTATCTGAACTGAGGGTTTACATAAACAGCTTGCAGAAGGATGCTGAAGTGCGTTTGTAACAAATGTGTCAGAAACGAACTGATCTGGAATCAGTCAAACAGCCTCTGGCACTGCGAAATGAATGCAGTCATTGCCCCAGTTTGAGAGAGAGCCGCATTA